TGTACACACACATTTATAAAACATACACACACACACAAAGAAAATGCAGTCAGGCAGGGCTAGCACTGTGGTGTAGAAGGTTAAGCTTCTGCCTGCAGTGCTGGCATTCCATATGGGAGCCGGTTCAAGTCCTGGCTGCTCCACTTCCAATCCAGCTCCCTGTTTATGTGCCTGGGAAAGCAGCAGAAGATGACTCAAGTCCCTTGTACCCATGTGGGAGACCTGAAGGAAGTTCCAGCCTCCTTGCTTTGGCCTGGCCTGTTGCTGCCATTTGGGGAGAGAACTAGCAAATGGAAGACCTTTCTCTCTTTCTCCTCCTCTATCTCTGCCTTTCAATTAATAAATAATTTTTTTTAATGTAGTCAGGCCTGTGATGGCTTCATCTGCAGCAAACATGTACAGCTTTCTTCTTGTTCCTTGTTTTTATTCCCTAAACATTACCTAATTACAATTATTTACATAGCACCTACATAGTAATAGGTATTTTAAGTAAGCTAGAGATGATTTAAAGTATACATAGGAGAGGCCGGTGCTGCGGCTCACTTGGCTAATCCTCCGCCTGTGGCGCTGGCACACGGGGTCCTAGTCCCCGTTGGGGCGCCGGATTCTGTCCCCCTTGCTCCTCTTCCAGTCCAGCTCTCTCCTGTGGCCCAGGAAGGCAGTGGAGGATGGCCCAAGTGCTTGGGCCCTATACCCACATGGGAGACCAGGAGAAGCACCTGGCTCCTGGCTTCTGATCGGTGCAGCGCACTGGCCATAGCAGCCATTTGGGGGGTGAACCAACGGAAGGAAGACCTTTCTCTCTGTCTCTCTCTCTAACTCTGCCTCTCAAAAAATAAAAAAAAATTTAAAAAAAGTATACATATGAGAAATGTGTGATGGTTACAAGCAAATACCACATCATTTTTATTAATTTTTTAAAAGATTTTATTTATTTAAGTGGCAGAGTTACAGAGAGAGAGAAAGGTCTTCTATCCACTGGTTTACTCCCCAAAATGGCCACAATGGCTGGAGTCGGGTGGATCTGAAGCCAGGAGCTTCTTTCAGGTCTCCCACATGGGTGCAGGGACCCAAGCACTTGGATGATCTTCCACTGCTTTCCCAGGCCATAGGTAGAGAGCCTGACCAGAGGAGGAGAAGCTGGGATACAAACTGGCACTCCGATATAGGATGCCAGCATAGCAAGCAATGACTTAACCCACTGTGCCACAAGACTGGCACCTCATTTTACTTTTTAAATGTTTATTTATTTTCATCTCCTTGGAAAACAGAGCAACAAAGAGAGTGAGACCTTCCATGCGTTGTTTACTCCTTAAATGCCTGTAATACCAGGGCTGAGCCAGACTGAAGTCAGGAGCTGAGAACTCATTCCCAGTCATGCATGTGGGTGGCAGAAACCCAAGCACCAGAGCTGTCACTTGCTATCACCCAGGATGTATCAGCAGAAAGTTGGATCAGAAGCAGGGCAGCTGGGACTCAAACTGACACTCTGATATAGGACACAGGTGTCCTTGGTGCAAACGTAGCTCCTCCTGTGATGCTTGTCCTTTTACATGGTTTTATAAAATGGACTTCAGTACCCATGGATTTTGGTATTTGGAAAGCATCCTAGAATCAATCTCTTGGGGATACTGAGGGATGACTGTAAATTATCTATTTTCTCTGTTCTTTTACTGTTTGCTAATCTTGTAATAACAATCTGGGGTTGATGTTGTGGCATTGCAGGTAAAGCTGCTGCCTGCAACTGCAGAATCCCCTATGGGCACCATTTTGTGTCCCAGTTGCTCCACTTCTGATCCAGCTCCTTGCTAATGGCCTGGGAAAAGCAGCAGTAGATGGCCCAAATGTTAGGGTCCCTGCCACCCATGTAAGAGATCCAGATGAAACTCCTAGCTCCTGGCTTTAGCCTGGTCCAGCCACTACAGCCATCTGGGGAGTGAACCAGCAGATAGAAGATATCTCTCTCTCTCTTTCTTTCTGTAACTCTTTCAAATAAATAAATAAATCTTTAAGAAAAAATTAAGGCAAAATAAAAGCTTAGCTAATTACAAAATTAAAAAAAAATCAACTGGGGGTAGCTGACATACCCGTATCATCTATGGGGCTCTTTTTTTAAATTTTTTTTAACGATTTATTTATTTATTTGAAAGTCAGAGTTAACACACACACAGAGAGGTCTTCCATCCACTGGTTCACTCCCCAACTGGCCACAACGGACTGGTTCACTCCCCAATTGGCCACAACGGCTTGGAGCTGCACTGATCCAAAGCCAGGAGCCTCTTCCAGGTTTCCCACGCAAGTGCACGGGCCCAAGGACTTGGGCCATCTTCTACTGCTTTCCCAGGCCATAGCAGAGAGCTGGATTGGAATTAGAGCAGCCATGATTAGAACCGGCGCCCATATGGGATGAGGGCACTGCAGGCAGCAGCTTTACCTGCTACGCCACAGCGCCGGCCCCTATGAGGCTCTTAAAACATCACAGCTCTGGGGCCGGTGCTGTGGCATAGCAGGTAAAAGCCGGCACCTGCAGTACCCGCATCCCACATGGGCGCCAGTTCTAGTCATGGTTTCTGTACTTCCAATCCAGCTCTCTGCTATGGCCTGGGAAAGCAGTAGAGGATGGCCCAAGTCCTTGGGCCCCTGCACCTGTGTGGGAGACCTAGAGGAAGCGCCAAGCTTCTGGTTCCTGGCTTTGGATTGGTGCAGCTCCGGCCATTCCAGCCAACTGGGGAGTGAACCAGCGGATGGAAGACCTTTCTCTCTGCCTCTGCTTCTCTCTCTGTGTAACTCTTTAAAATAAATAAATAAATCTTAAAAAAAAAAATCACAGCTGTGTCCTGTAGTCCTCATTCCTAGATACATTAACTGTGCAGTTCTGTGTATAAAACACACTAATTTTCTTACTACTAACTGTTACCCAATTTCTTCCATATGTTTATAATAATCCCTGATTTTCAGTTTCTAAAGCCATAGGACTCTCTACATTAACAATTGCACGTAGTGGATGTTTTACACAGCAGTTAAGTTGCTGCTTCGGATGATGGCATCTCATATTAGCGTATCTTGTTTGAGTCCTGGTTCCTCCAATTCTGATTCAGCTTCCTAATGTGAATCAGAAAGCAAGAGGTGTGGCTCAAATACCTGGGTGCTTCCCACTCACATTGGACACCCAGACTGAGCTCTGGACTCCTGGCTTCTGCCTGGACTAGCCCCAGTTCTTGTGGGCATTTAGGAATTGAACCAGTGGATGGAAGATTTCTTTGTATTTCTGTCTTTCAAATAAAACAAAAATAAATTTTAAAAAATAATAAAAATTTCACACCAGTGTTAAGCAATATGTAAATACAGGACTTTTGTGAAAGGACTTCATGGGCTTTTACTGTGACAAAATCACATGATGAAAGTATCAAGAAAACTGTCCAAAACTTTGATTTTGCCATTCATGAAGATACAGCTAGATGGTAAGATTATAGTCTATTGATGAAAATCATTTGAATTTGTTAAATATATGAGGAAATTCTTTGCCAGGAGCCAGGAGTTTCATTTGGGTCTCCCAAGTGGGTGACAGGGGCCCAAGGACTTGGGCCATCTTCCACTGCTTTCCCAGGCACATTAGCAGGGAGCTGGATGGAAATGGAACAGCTGGGACTCAAACCGGCACCCATATGGGATGCCAGTGTGGCAAGTGGCGGCTTTATCTCCTATGCCACAACACTGGTCCCAATTCTTTTTTATTTTTCTTAAATAAGATTTATTATTTATTTGAAAGGCAGAGTTACAAAGAGGAGGAGGAAGTAGAGAGAGGGAGAGAGAGAGGGAGGGAGGGAGGGAGGGAGGGAGGGAGGGAGAGTCAGTCTTCCATCTGTTGATTCACATCCCAAACAGTTGTAAAGGCAATGGTTGTGCCAGGCCAGAGCCAGGAGTCTGGAACTACATCTAGGTCTCCCACCTGGGTGGCAGAGGGCCAATTACTTGGATCATCTGTGCTACTTTCCAGGTACAGGAGCTGGATTGGAAGTGGAGCAACTGGGATTCAAACCAGGGTCTATATGGCATGTTGGCCTTGTGTGCAGCGGCTTAATCATCTGTGTTACACTATTGGCCCCAAGAAATTATTTCTTTACCCTTTACCCTTGAGAAGTCCAACATATTTAGGAAAAAAAAATCATTAATTTCAGAAGAATGACATCTGGGTTTAATTTTCAATTCTAATATCTCTTTACCAATTTCCTGTGACTCCAGACAAGTCAATTAACCATTCTGCACTGCAATCATCTCTCATGGGTACAGATCTTCTGATGTACCTCATATTGTGAGGCCTGGTAGAGTCATTCATTCATCACTCAGTACCTACAGAGCAGTAGACATTGTGTAGGGTATAATGGGGCACTTTTTTAAAGAACTAAATATTATCTTCTTTAAATAGATTATAAACTCTTGGGAGCAGAATCACACATGGTAATAGGTTGACTGTAACACATATAATCAAGAATGTTTGAAAAGTGTGATGGCATCCAGTAAATAAATAACTGCTAGGTAAGGGTAAAATCAGGAAAGGTGACTTTCAAACCAGGAAAAACCATGTAGGATGGACAACAAAAACAAAGGTCGAAAAGCAAGGGTGTGTTCAGGGAACGCTGAATAGTGCAGATTGTCAGAAATAAAATATATACAGGTTTCTTAGTAGGGAATGATATATAAACAAAGTTGTGTATTAGGAAACTCTGTCAAGTATAAGACGAAATACAGTTTGGAAACCAGAAGCCAGGATAATGTTAAGCACTAATGCAATGGTCCATGTGATAAATAAGGCAATCCAAAGTATAAACTGCAATTCATTACTATTGCCAAGCCCTCTTTCCATGATCACAAAAGTTCCTTAAGTGTACAAATGTAATATTATTTAGCATATAACATGTGTTTTTAAGATGCTGTCATAAACTCTCCATAAACACAGGAAGAACTAGTAAAATGTCCTTCTGTTATCTTAGAACACATACCTCTTCACTAAGAAGTGGTACACATTCAGATTGTAGGGGTCTTGGAACCGAGAGGCCAGGTCCTGGTAGAGATACATTGGACAGACGTCTTTTTCTCACTCCACTGCAGTTATTTGGAATCTTGAAGGCACATCGTTTATGATAATTTAATCCACAGCCTAAATACATTTTAAAAGGTTAAAAAATATTAAAGTAACTTTACTATTTAAGTGTAATAAATAAAATCACTGCTTCTTTAACTCTTGCTCTGGCAGCAATACTTACTTAGCAAAATGACAGGCAAACAATTTAAAAAAGAACAGGAAAGATACAGAATGATTTATTCAGAAAGATTAAGCTAGCTAATGCAGTGGTGTTTGAAATGTTGTATCTAAGGCAATCATCTGGGAATTTATTAGAAATGCAATTCTTGCCCTCTAACCCATAGAGCTATAAATTAGGAATCTTGGGGATAAGGCCCAGCAAGGTATGGTTTATGATGCCAGGTAAAGTTTGAGAAACACTGGATTAAAGCACAGGTCAGCAAACTGTGGCTTGCATACCAAATTCTTCCTGTGATACAAAAATTATATGAAATGCAAATTTCAACATTCCTAAATATGAATATGGGAATATAAATATGAACTGGGACTATGGCCATTCCCATTTGTTTCCATACATATAAGGTTAACATCACACTCCAACAGCAGAGTATAGTCAGTCACAACACAGATCATATGGCCAGTAAAGCCTAAAATACTTATCCTCTGGCCCTACAGACATAGTTTGACTTTTCCTTCTCAGAGAAGTGCTTCTTAATCAAAATGTGTACTTATGTGCTCCCCCTAATAATTCTAATTCAGAAAAAATAAGGAAATTAATATTTACTGAATCACTACTTTGAGCCAAATATTTTCCCATTTTACCTTACTGAGTCATTATGAAACCAATGGAGTAGATATATTTTACAGAGAAACTGATCCTCAGAGTGAATAAGTAGGTGGCAGAATTAAGACCAGGCCCTCAATCTCTCCAATTCTAAAGGTTAGCTACTATTCAGTAACCAACTTGATCTTGTTTTTTCATCAACAATAAAAGAATGTACATGTAAAATCCTACAAAAGGAGTAAAAAATTTTAGGGCACATACCTTCACATTTCAGTCCCTGACGTACCAATCCCCAGAGCATTTCACCACAATAATCACAAAAAGTAGGAGCTTTGTAAGAATGTACATAGAGGGTATGTGGACGAATCTGGAAGTCTTCTACTGTGGCCAAAGCTTTCAAAAAAGAAAAGCATTTAAATAAACCCCATATTTGTAATTGTTATTATGAGATTAGGAATGCTCACCATACTCATTTATGTCAAAGTACACAGAATCATTGTTTTATCTGCCAGTTTCACCTTACCATAAAAGTAAATTTTATTTAGCATTTAATACTTTGATTTTTAGACACTAGTTTAGGGAGCAGGTATTTGGCCTAGTGGTTATGATGTTCATATCCTACATCAGAGTACCTGGATTGGACTCCCAGCTCCAATTCAGTATTTCACCAGTGCAGACACTGAGAGGCAGCAGTGAAGGTTGCTGCCATCGTGTGAGAGACCTTGACTGAGTTCCTGGCTTTGGCGCTGGCCCGCTCTGGGCCATTGTGGGCATTTGGGGGAGTGAACCAGAGGATGGGACCTTTCTCTCAGTGTCTAAATAAATAAATAAATAAATTCATGGAAAACACACTTTTTTTTTTTTTTTTTTTGGACTGGCAGAGTGGACAGTGAGCAAGTGAGCAAGAGAGAGAGAGAGAGAGAGAGAGAGAGAGAGAAAGGTCTTCCTTTGCCATTGGTTCACCCTCCAGTGGCTGCCGCAGCCGGCGCACTGCGGCCAGTGCACTGCGCTGATCCAATGGCAGGAGCCAGGTACTTATCCTGGTCTCCCATGGGGTGCAGGGCCCAAGCACTTGGGCCATCTTCCACTGCACTCCCAGGCCACAGCAGAGAGCTGGCCTAGAAGAGGGGCAACCGGGACAGAATCCACGCCCCGACCGGGACTAGACCCAGTGTGCCGGCGCCGCAAGGCGGAGGATTAGCCTAGTGAGCCGTGGCGCCGGCCCACATTATTTTTTTTTAAAGAATGATTTTGGGGGCCAGTGCTGTGGCGCACCAGGTTAACACCCTGGCCTGAAGTGCCGGCATCCCATATGGGTGCCGGTTCGAGTCCTGGCTGCTCCACTTTTTTTTTTTTTTTTTTTTTACAGATAGAGTTAGTGAGAGAAAGAGACAGAGAGAAAGGTCTTCCTTCCGTTGGTTCACCCCGCAAATGGCTGCTACGGCCATCGCTGCGCTGATCCGAAGCCAGGAGCCAGGTGCTTCCCTCTGCTCTCCCATACGGGTGCAGGGCCCAAGCACTTGGGCCATCCTCCACTGCCTTCCCAGGCCACAGCAGAGAGCTGGACTGGAAGAGGAGCAACTGGGACAGAATCCGGCACCCCGACTGGGACTAGAACCTGGTGTGCTGGCGCCACAGGTGGAGGATTAGCCTAGTGAGCCACAGTGCCAGCCCTGGCTGCTCCACTTCTGATTCAGCTCTCTGCTACGGCTTGGGAAAGCAGTGGAAGATGGCTCAAGTCCTTGGGCCCTTGCACCCACGTGGGAGACCCAGAAGCAGCTCCTTGCTTCTGGGTTCGGATTGGCACAGCTCCAGCCCTTGCAGTCAATTTGGGGAGTAAACCAGCGGATGGAAGACCTTTCTCTCTCTGCTTCTCCTCTCTCTGTGTAACTCTGACTTTTAAATAAATAAATAAATATTTTTAAAAATTGATTTTTTTGTGCCCAAATAAACTTTAATTTCATTTTCCATAAATTTTTAAGTGCCTTTGTTTTCCAAAAGCATTTTCTCATACTGACAAGGTGAAAAACAGCTGTTAGGTCTATTTTACCCAATTAAAAAAAGTTTAGGAGGTGGGTCACTTGATACACTGGAGTGCCTAGGTTCAAGTCCTGGCTCTACTCCCCTGGCTCCAGCTTCCTGCTAATGTACAACAGGGAGGCAGCAGGTAACAGCTCAAGTACTTGAGTCCTTTCCACTCTGGTGGGAGAGCTGGACTGAATTCTGGATTCCTAGTTTTGGCCCAATCTAGCCCTACCTGTCACATGCATTTGGAGAGTGAACCAGCATAAGGAGATCCCTGTCTGTCTCTGTCTCTCTGCCTTTCAAACAAACAAAAAGATATTTTTAATGGGTTAATTTATAATACGGTGGAAAATAGAATATTAAAAAATACTGTGAAATTTTACTTCAATTTATAAGCACCGTTTCTGCGGGAACAGAAAAGTTCTAACTCCAATACACATTCTCTTGTCTTTTCTCCACAGTCCTAATGGTTAAAAAAAAGAGATTCATTTCTCCTAAATGAGCAATTGCAATAGTAGACAAAGATTTTCTTCTCACCTCAAACTGCAAGTCATTAGTGGATAGTTCTGTGTTTTGATGAAGGGTCCATAGCAAAGGAACGGATGTGAGCATGACCTCCAGGGAGGACAGAGTGAAGCCCAGTAGGATTACAAAGGAAAAAGAGACTGGGAAGCATGCAGATGGTTTGTGGTTGTGATGTAAAAGATGAGTGATGAGGTGGATAGGTCAATGGGAGGACCAGAAATACCAAAGGAGTGGAGACTAACAAGAAAAGGTGATAGAAAGGATCTCAAAAAATCGGCTCAAAGGTGAATTTGAGAAGAGGCAAAAGTGTAGCAGGACTCTGGGTCCTTGGCCAGCCAGCTTGTTTCTTTTCTTTTCTTAGTCCTCTTTTCTTATCCAATAAAAAGTGCTGCAGATCTGCTATCTACATTATTACTATGGCATTTTTTCTTCCTTTATACTACTCCCTAACAATCCTGCCACGTGCTGTCGGATGAGATCAGAAATAGAGCTAAGGAAGGAGTGGCAAAAATGAGTGAGGTGGAAAAAGAGACAAAGAGAAAAATGGGGAAAGAGCATTTATTCAAAGCCACGGAAACTCTATCCAGTATTGTAGTTTCCTCTTCCATATCTTCATTGTTTCTCCTTTTTTCCTGAATCTCTTTTCTGAACCTGAATTTTCTTCTTCTATGCTCTTTACAGAAATGGGGAAAAGGGAACAAAATTTCAGTATAATTGTTTTATTTCTTCAACTCAGAGAAAAGAATATATTTCCCTTTCAGTTCAATTGCTCTTTCCCTAAGCTGAGTAACTCTCAAATAATTCAGTTTATTTTCCTACTTTTTCTCATTTGTAATATAACCTTCCTGAAAATAAAAATCACACAGTAACTATATTATAAATGAAATAAGCAATTCTAATACCCAGACTAAGTATGATTGAATATAGCATTTTGTACAGAAAAAGACTCTTTGGGAAAAAGTAAAGCTACGTACTTACCTGAAAGAACAACTTCTACTAGGTCTCCTTCATGTATTTCATCTGCTGAGGTAATCAGCTGCAAAATATTTTCTGAGTTCATGTCATGGCGAAAGAGAAGAATTTTATCATACATGCCAAAGAATCCACATTCTGGAAACTGTGGGAAAATGATGTTGTATCAGTTTATCCATGGCTTTCTATTTTTATAAGTAAATGACTTAAATCTTATAAAAAAGCTTTTAATGGAATATTTTATTCTAACACATACTTGCAAAAAACTGTTAAAATAAAAAGGAGAGTCCATACTCAAGTATCCTTGTTAATTTTAAAGGTCAACAAGATAAGGTAAATTTACAACTAAATAATCATTATCTTAAAACATCTCTCTTAGAAATACAGGATTTCTTTTTTTAAAGGATTTATTTATTTATCTGAAAGGCAGAGTTAGAGCAGTAAAGACAAATATCCTTCATCCGCATGGTCACTCCCCAAAGGGCTGCCATAGCCAGAACAGGGCAGGAGCCAGGAGTTTCTTTTGGGTCTCCCACCTTGCTGGCAGCAGTCCAAGAACCTGGACTATCATCTATTGTTTTCCTAGGCTCATCAGCAGGGAGCTGGGTTGGCAGTAGACTAGTGAGACCACAAAGTGGTGCACATATGAGATGCTTGTGTCATAGGCAGTGGCTTAACCTGCTACACCACAATGCTGTTGGCCCCAGAAATATAGGATTTTTATATTCAGCTCTTGATGGAGACTATAGTCCTACTGCTACTCTATTCTTACATAGCCTGAATGATAAAGTCTTTCCCATTCTCTATATCTGCATTATTCAATACATGGTTATCTTCTACTCACATGCAGGTATTTAAATTTGAAATAATTAAAATTAAATGAAAAATGAAGTTCTTCACTCACTCTGGTCACATTACAGACACCAACTGCCACCTTGGCTACCAGCTACAATACTGTACAACACACATACAAAGCACTTCCATCTTTCTGTTAAGGTCTACTGAACCTGAGCAGGTAGAAGACCAATAATTCACAAGGCTATTAATTCCAATTTTTCTACCAAATGTACCTAGAGCCTCCAGTGTTGATCTAGTATCTCTTCTTTAAGTCTATTCTCTGTAATTACAATACATGATTCATTATAGTATCTTCCTTTGGAGGATTATGATATGGATTACATTTGAAGGTATGTGTTCCAAAATTTTTATGATTAATAATGAGTGTATTTTAAAGTACCTGTTTTATATAAGTAAGTTCAATTTTTAAATCCATTTTTAAAATATTTATTTATTTATTTGAAAAGCAGAGTTACAGAGAGGCAGAGAGGCAGAGAGAGAGAGAGAGAGAGTCCATCCGCTAGTTCACTCCCCAGATGGCTACAACAGCTGGTGCCAATTTGAAGCCAGGAGCCAGGAGCCTCTTCTGGGTCTCCCACATGAGTGAAGGGGCCCAAGGACTTGGGTCATCTTCTACTGCTTTCCCAGGCCATCGCAGAGAGCTGGATCAGAAGTGGAGCAGCTGTGATTAGAACCAGCAGCCATATGGGATGCTGGCACTGCAGGCAGTGGCTTTACCATCTATGCCCAGCACTAGCCTGAATACATTTTTAAAAATGAGACTATGCTCTAAATTACCAGCACCTTAGGACATAATACTCTACAAAATTCTTTAGATCTCAGGAAAAAATGCCCATTAAAAACTCTGCAGCTGACCAGCACCGTGGCTCACTAGGCTAATCCTCTGCCTGCAGCGCCGGTACCGTCCCGGTTGGGGCACCGGATTCTGTCCCGGTTGCTCCTCTCCCAGTCCAGCTCTCTGCTGTGGCCCGGGAGGGCAGTGGAGGATGGCCCAAGTGCTTGGGCCCTGAACCACATGGGAAACAAGGAGAAGCACCTGGTTCCTGGCTTCGGATCGGCGCAGCATGCCAGCTGTAGCGGCCATTTGGGGAGTGAACCAAAAGAAGGAAGACCTTTCTCTCTCATTGTCTAACTTTGCCTGTTAAACACACACACACACACACACACACACACACAAACCACCTCTGCAGCATGGCCTGCCAGGGATCAGCCACACCATACCATCCCGCAAGTGCATCCACTGGAGGGACGTCACTGAGGACATGCTCCACCTACTTCATCTGGAGACCCTTCTTTGTGAGGATCCACAAAAGAAATTTCTCTGGTTGGTTTTATAACGTGAACAATCGATCACAGAACTAATCATGTTCTTGTGTTTGCTTTGCCCAGTGAAAAAGCACAACCATGTCTGTAGTCTACTTATGTTTTATATGCAGATACTAACCCAGCTTCATCTTATTTTCTGACATTTAATTGTCTTTTTGGAGAAACCTTTTCTATATCTCTAAAATTTCTCGTATTTTTTTTTGGGGGGGGGGCATTTCTGTGGCATAGACTAAGTCTCTGCCTGCAGTGTTGGGATCTCATATGGGCGCCTGTTCAAGCTGTGGCTGCTCCACTTCCAATCCGGCTTCCTGTTAATGGCCAAGGAAAGCAGCAGAAGATGGCCAAATACTTGGGCCCCTGTACCCACGTGGGAGACTGCGATGAAGCTCCTGACTCCAGCCTCCTGACTTCGGCCTGGCCCGGCCCCAGCCAGTGTGGCCATCTGGGGAGTGACCAGAGGATGGCAGATCTCTTTCTCTCCCCGCTTCTCTCTCTGTAAACTCTCCCTTTCAAATAAATAAATCAATCTTTTTTTTTTTAAAGTTAAGCAGGTTATATTTATATTTTTTTTTTTTTTTGACAGGCAGAGTGGACAGTGAGAGAGAGAGAGACAGAGAGAAAGGTCTTCCTTTTGCCGTTGGTTCACCCTCCAATGGCCGCTGCGGCTGGCGCGCTGCGGCCGGCGCACTGCGCTGATCTGATGGCAGGAGCCAGGAGCCAGGTGCTTCTCCTGGTCTCCCATGGGGTGCAGGGCCCAAGCACCTGGGCCATCCTCCACTGCACTCCCTGGCCACAGCAGAGAGCTGGCCTGGAAGAGGGGCAACCGGGACAGAATCCGGCGCCCCGACCGGGACTAGAACCCGGTGTGCCGGCGCCGCTAGGCGGAGGATTAGCCTAGTGAGCCGCGGCTAAAGTTAAGTTTTTTAAAAGTTGAAAACAATGACTTAGATATACCTAACTAATGAGAGTTCTCAACTGAAAAGTAAAAATCAGGATCACAAATTATATTTTAAAATTAAAATTTTACAGAATTTTATTATATTATTGGACTGAATAAAATATTCTCATAACTTGGTTGTAATTATTCTTAAGAACTTATTTTAAAAGGATTAGACATTCCATCCTCATAAAAATAAAACATTTAATAAAATATTTCTATGAATGAAATGGTTTTTACAAAGTCACATTTCTTGCATGTCTCCTAAGTACAAGGTATTGGTCCCATAGTTTGTAGGGATAAAACATGCTTTATTCTCAGGAGCTTATAATCTAACAGGAAAACAGAAATAAAAATAAGTTTTATACAACATGACAAAGCAAATGCCAAAAATGAAATACAAACAAAATCCTAGACTAAGAAAAACAAACACTTCAATTGGGAAGGTGAAGTACAGGCATCTAGCACGGTATCTGAGCAAAGCTGTAAAAAGGAGAAGCAGAGCTTACACAGGCTGAAAGTGAAAATGTGTCATTGCTGAGAAAGTACATGGGAAACAGAAGAAGGTGAAGTGAAGCCTTATGACTGAAGAATGAGGTGGGGACAAGTCAGGCAGAAATGCACATGGGGCCTGACTGGGGACATACTAACAGAAAAATTTGTAAGCAGCAGTCAGTTCAAGTTTTATCTTCCACTAACTATAGCACGTAGGATAAGCTGCTTGACCTCTCTTGTTGTGTTTTTGGTTTTTTAGATTTATTTATTTACTTTTAAGGCAGAGCAAGAGAGACAGATACACACAGACAGGAAGAGACGCACAGTGATCTTCCATCCACGGATTCACTACTTAAATGGCTGCAACAAACTGGGACAGAATGAAATTAGGAGCCAAGAACTCCACCTGGGTCTCCCAACGTGGGTGGCAGGGGCCCAAGTAGTTGGGCCATCTTTCATTGCACTCCCAGATGCACTGGTAAAGAGAGAGAACTGAAGTGGAGCAGCCAGGACTCAAATTTGTGCTCTGATATGCAATGCTGGCGTTGCAAGCAGGTAGCTTAATCAGCTGTACCACAACACTGGTCCTGCATCGGTTTCTTATTTATAAGGTTGAGATAACAAAAGTACTGGCTTTCTAGGGTTCTTACCAAATTACTCCGTAGGCATAAAATCTCCAGCACTATAATCAGTATGATTATTCTATAGTAATAATCCAAGAGAGACACTGGGTCCACAGCAAGGCTGTACACGATCAAAAATATTTTAAAAAGGTAATACTGGGAGTGAACCAACGGAAAAGGAAGACCTTTCTGTCTCTCTCACTGTCCACTCTGCCTGTCCCCCCCACCCAAAAAAAAAGGGTAATAATGAAAACTGTCGTGTGCAGGAACTAAAGCAGGAAGAAACTAGAGCAAGCTCTTGAAGAAAGGCTGAAGCTGTCAGGAAGAGGTATCAGGGTCTGGATTACATAGTAAGAAAACGGACAGAGAAAACTTTCCCTAAAAGCCATCTTTGCTAAATCATATGGATCAACATTGTTTCACTCAAACTCAAAGTCCTAAAGAATGGTAACTGAATAACTGAATAACAAACACACCAATGAAAGAAGGAAAACACGGAATTTCTGACTTGAAAAAAAAATGCAAAATTACTTTCTTAATAAACACATAATACCAATATAAAATTGGAATTATTAAGAGACCCAAGAGAAAGTAAACAAATTATGAGGAATATTAACAATATAAACATTTATATATCAGAGGGTAGAAAGTTGTCGGTAAAGATAGGAATAGAGTTATTTTCTAGGCTAGCAAATGTTTCATACTATACTCATCTCCATTAATGACAGACTGCAGAGCTCCCAGGAGGAAAACTGTAATAACTAGCCTGTAAATAACAGACTTTCACTGTTTACAATCACAAATTACAGGTGTGTTTGGTAAGATATTAAGGAATTATCTGAATGTGAGATAGAACTAAAGGCAGTAACAGAAAATGTGGCCCGAAAAAGCAAGAAAAGAACAAAT